AGTCCCTCCGCAGCCAGGTTATCCAGCCCGGGTTGCTCAGGTCCTCCTGGTCCCAAGAGAGCCCCAGCAGCAAGGCTACCCATTTCAGGTTGCCGTTATGCCAAATATGCATCAGCAGCAGGGCAACCCAGCCCAAGTGACTCTAGTTGCCCAAGTACCCCAGCAGCACAGCCATCCAGTCCAGGTCACCCTGATGCCCCAGCAACACAGTTACTCATCCCAGGTAACCCAGGTGCCCCAGCTGTACAGCCACCCAAGCCAAGTTCCTTTTGTCACCCAGATGCGACCACAGCATGGCTACCAAACGCAGGTTGCTCAGGTGCCCCAGCAGCACAGCTACCCACCCCAGGCTGTTCAGCAAGGCAAGCCACCCCAGGTCAACAAGGTGCCCCAGCAGCACCGCTACTCAGCCCAGGCAGCTCAGGTTTCCAAGGTGCCCCAGCAGCAGGGCAACCAAGCAAGGGCAGCTCAGGTTTCCAAGGTTTCCCAGCAGCAAGGCAACCCACCCCGGGCCAACAAGGTTCCCCAGCACAGCTACCCATCCCGGGCTGCTCACGTAGCCATGGTGCCCCAGCAGCATGGCAACCCAGCACAGGTTCCTCAGGTGCCCCAGCAGCAAAACCACCCAGCACAGGTTGTCGGGGTGCCTCAGCAGCATGGCTTTATAGCCCAAGTCTCTCAAGTGCCCCAGCAACTTAGCTACTCCAAGATGACCCAGCAGCCCGAGTTCCCACACAACATAAGGGTCCCTGGACAGCCCGGCTCCCCAGCCCAGGTTGCCAGGATGCCTCAGCAGCAAAGCAACCCAGCAAAGGTTTCCCAGGTGCCCCAGCAGCACAGCTACCCAGTCCAGGTGCCTCAGCACCACAGCAACCCAGCCCAGGCAACTCAGGTGCCCCAGCAAGTGGGCTACCAAGTGCCACAACAGCACATCTACCAATCCATAGCCACTCCAGGAACCCAGCAGCATGGGAACACTTCAGATGTATCCCGGGTGCACCAACATCCTGGCAATGTCCCCAAGGTGTCCCACGAGCCACAGAAGAATAGCAACCACCAAAGGCCACGTTACCGATTTAAACAGCCAGGGCACATGTTGCCAAGGAGGCCTCACCACTTGCCAAAGAAGGTAAGCTACTAGTCACTGCATGATATGCATCCCAACCAGGTCATTTAAATCACTTGAAAGTTTTGTGAGCGTGCGCTTTCGTCATCCAACACTTTCCAGTTTAGCCTCAATAAACAGACATATAATTCTTTTTGTCTTCTTGGCACAGGAAAACTGAAGAAATTGACCTCATTTGGCCTGCTGAATTAAAATTGGTTACTCTCATTTTGACTCTTGCTTCTTTCATCTTGAAACCTTAAGTATATATTTAATATAAGTATTTACAATTCTGCATTAAGTCAATGTTGTATTGACTGACCTTTGTTAAATTTGGGACAGAATGTTACTTCGTGACTGTCACACATCATTATTACCAAGCGAGCAAGCTTCACATTTAAACTGCTTTTAGCACTGACATGACTTAAAGATGTTAAAAAAAAAATCATACTATGTGAATTTAGTTTCTCGTAATTGCTTACTTTGATTTTTCTTACAGCTCTGCATATAAAAGTTGAATGAATTTCTGTGCTTTTCATGTGTGGAGAAAATGTTTTACATATTCACAATTTTAGTTACCATGACTGCCAATCATTTAGTTTTTAAAAGCTGCTTTCAGTCAACTTCTAGATTTAACTGTCAGGCTTTCCATCTTGTGGGGGCAGATAGTTTTCATTGGAATTTAATTCAAGCCTTTCACACAACGAAAAAATTGTCTTGTGATAAGTAATTGGGTCAAAAAAGAATACTCTTCAGTCATGTTTATCGTAACGCAACAGTGTGGATTTGTATGCGATAACTTTTTCATTGTTTTAAGATGCATATATATTTTATGTTCTTCACATATTTTACCAAAATTTACATTTGTTTTAGAACGTATTATGTTGAATAAATTAGCTGAACAAAGTAGAGCATTAGGACCCCGGGGTGTGGCAGGCTCTGTCCCTCCGTCTCTCTCCTGATCTGACAGCTTGCTCTGACGAACAGTTTGAGAAGGGGTGTGAGGATGGATGTGGGGAGACTTGTCAGTGCCTTGAGCTGTGGCTGAAAACCGCGTGGTTGTTTAACAGGTCCACTGTGATGTGCATCCAACAGAATAGTTCATCGCTCAACTCTTCCATAACCGGATAAGATAACCACCGCCGCTTTTTGGATTGTTCCGGTTTTGTGTGCTTTCGAAAGTCCAGCCATTCAATTAAGGGAATTCCTCCCGTTATTTGTCTAGCTGCTTCTATCCGGGCTCTGAAAAGTTGCTGCTTCGGTAGGATTGCGTTTGTGTTAGCAACAAAAAAAAACAATAACCGGAGGAGACAACATGTCTCTGAGCAGAAGCATCGAATTTGAACACTTTGAGGAGCGAGAGAAGCCACACCGGACGCCGAGAACACACTCGGGCTCCGGGTCGCAGTCCGGCTCCAGGGGCAACGGTCTCGTGCCCAGTCCCGCGCACAGCGCGCACTGCAGCTTCTACCGCACGCGCACCCTCCAGTCGCTCACGTCCGAGAGGAAAGCCAAGAAAGTGCGCTTCTACCGCAATGGCGACAAGTACTTCAAGGGACTGGTCTACGCCGTGTCCCACGACCGGTTCAGGTCCCTAGACGCCCTTCTCATGGAGCTCACGCGCTCCCTGTCGGACAACGTCAACCTTCCCCAGGGAGTCCGGAGCCTGTACACGCTGGACGGGGGCAGGAAGATCAGCAGCCTGGACGAGTTGGTGGAGGGTAGGTTTTTGGAGGATGTGACCGCCACATCTTATGATCTTTTTTGTTTTTTGGGGGGGCATAGATGGTGTAAGTGTGTAACGGATTATGGGTAAGATGTCTGATTGTCTTCATGTCAACTGACATTGTTAAACTGTTTTTTATCTGTTTTGGTACACTGTCGATTTTTTTCCTTCTAATTACATTACTGCAACCTATTCAGTTGATCCCTTCCCTTGTGTTTTGCTGGTCAGACACATCCTTTCATACACCAGGGCAGATGCATTGACATAACTGGCCTGACACCTTTGACCCAGTGCCATGCAGCACGCAGCTGGCTGGACAGAGCTCTGTCAGTGCGCCTGGCTGTCAGTGGAACTCCCGATTTACTCTCTGTATCTGTAAATTTATTTGGGCGTGAATGTCTGGCAGACAGTGAGTGTTTGTGTGTGTGTGTGGTGTTGCAGGGTTCACCGGTTGTTTAAATCTGTCATATTGATGTCCCCAACATCCAGAATGTTTTCATCTTTTGCAGTCCAAGCGGGTACACACAAGCTGACAATATAACTGGGCATGTCACTAAATAAGTGGGGGGAAAATTTGATGGGTATGAAGAAGGATGAGGAGCTTCTAAACAAATTATGACAAAAACTAATGGGACAAGCTGTCTGACATTTTCATTTCTACTTTCATGGTCAGTGACCTCTCAGTGATTAAACAATTGTCCTGTCCAGCCATTCAGCATATGTGCACTGTAACTTGACAGTTATGTATCCATATCTTTGATTCAGATAGCTTAATGTAATCATTCTTACTGGTATATTTTCACACTTGTGCTATACCCATACCTACAGTATTCCTGACGCCCAAACATCCTGACATAAATTCATCACTATTTTCCCGACTGAGTAAAACTTGTTTCCGTGTGCTGCTTCTGCCTCTGAATGACACTTTGGTCCTTTTTGTTTTTAAGTGTTCTTCATTGATCTGTTTACCTTGACCAAAAAAAAGTCGACAGACGACAGCAAATTATGTTTAAAGCAGACTCATGCTAATTAAGATTGAAGCTGGTCAATTTAGCTGATGATTAAGGTGAACTGCACAGGAACAGGAAAATCCGTTTGAATTATGGATAGGGTGGGCTGTTAATCCCTGCCCTGCAGGAAGGTCCAGCACTTTAGTGACTTGCCCTGGTATAGTCACCCATCTAATGGACTGAGAGGGGGAACATAACTGCAGCTCAGCACTCTGCATCCATTGATTGGATCTTTTTGTGTGGAAACCTAATCAAGCACTGTACACATATGTGCCTCTCATGGCTAGATGGAATCACTGGACATACCAGTCAAAGTAAACTGTTGTGGAAAAAACACAAAGTACAGCAGTATTGAACGGGGTTTAGAAAGTGTGGCTCTGTAGGGCATTTAAAGGACTCATAATCGGCTGTTATTGGACTTCTAGTTTGAACAAATAACACAGCTTCCCGCAAAAGATGAATGAAGCCTTTTGGATTTGATGTTTGACTAAAGCTAGAGATATAAAAACAATCAAGAAATTAATAGTTTTGAAAGTCACATTAGTGCTGGTATCCTACTATACCATATACAGGACCACTGTATCATACCACTATACAAGGATCTATCTATCTATCTATCTATCTATCTATCTATCTATCTATCTATCT